GTGGGTTGTTGGGGAAGTCTGGAAAAAGAACTATCCAATAGGATAAACCAGAGAACTTGAGTGAGAATTTTTTTTTCATCCAGAATAATTTCAGGCACTGCTTAGAATCTACTCATGTGGCTGTTACCACTCCAACCATTTCATGAGCACTCTAACGAATAAAGAATTTTAACTTAGAAATGGGCACAGAGTGGGAAAATGACACGTGAGGTGGTCCGTGGTTTGTGGCTACCCATGAACCATCCCCCAAACCCTGGGAATAAAGTAAACTAGTTTGGGGTTCCTTTTTCCAGTTTGTGCCTGGGCCAGAGGAACCTAACACCTCCACCCCCCTTCCCGCTGCCCCTGTTGCCTCCCTATATGGTCCTGCCACCTGGCAATGGCGGTAGCAGAGGAGGAAAAGGAGGAGACAGCAGCGGCAGGACCAGGTTGGGGGACAATGGGGGGCGCAGTGGGAAGGGGCCCATTTGTTTTGCCAAAGCAGAATGAAGCACTGAGTGGAAAGAAGTTTGGCGCTTCATTCCCTTTTGCCAAAATGGAATTGCACAAACCGAACCACGAATCAGTCCAGTTCATGTGGGGTTTTTTTGTTTGTTCATTTGTTTGTTTGTAGTTTGGTTCGTGTGAACTGTCCAAAAAATTCTAAGAAGCGTGAAAGCCAATTGCACAAGTGTCCCAGCTAGATCCGGAAATGTGAATCAACTAGATTGATTCAGAAATGGAGATCAAATGAAACCATCAAATGTTCTTATTTGGATTTTGGTTTGACACTCAATGGCTGAAATCCAGTAATAAGTCACAATTTAGAGTAGGCCCATTGAATCAACCGGTGAGGATTTAGTCGGTTAGCACATTCAACGGATTCAGTGGGCCTACTCTAGCTGAAGCATATTATGGGATTTCGGCCATTATAAAGAAAATTTTAGAATCTTCCAGAGTTTAGGTAATCAAAACTGGTTTGCCAGCTTCAGAAGAATATCCATCCTTTTCACTTATTTTGCAAACATGACAGTGCAGATTGTTGAAACATAAGGAGTATAAAGAATTTTTGTGGCCTGTTGTAGTAGTGAGGTGGAGAGGACAAAGAGGCTAACATCTGATGGCTCGCATTTTTTTGTTTCAAGCTGGTCTGGCTTTTAATCACCATTCAACAAACCCTGGATACTGTCAAATCTCTCTTATATTTCTCAAGAGTGTAACTGTGCCTGAGGTGGTAATGAAGCAAAGACTTAAGAGTGCTTGTTTCAAGGTCACTACACGTGGAACCAAGAATGTGCTGGAGAGGGAGGGAGAAAGGAAAGCTGTCTTTTGGCATTGAGGGGAATGATAAGAAAGATTAAAAGGAAGAGGTGGAATCGTGAGGCGTTTGTATTTTGTTTTGTTTCATTGGCTTTGCAGTGAAGGAGTTTCTGTAATGATGAAATAACACAGAACTGGCTGTTCATGTGCTGGTGGCTATATGCATCGCGTATCTATCCTCAACGCCATGAACACTTCTCTTGCACGGATACTTTATGAAGCCCAGCTCAGCTTCTTTCTTGGTCTACAATCAGCTCAAGATATATTTCTTTCCTGCCCAAAGCAGCCACACTGTCTTAGGGATGTAAATTTTCACTTATTTCATTCTGGAGAAGGAACATTTTTAAAGCCTTCTCCCCACTCAGCAAGATCGGGCAAGTTTTTGTGCAATTTTCTTCATGTTTTGCATTTCAGCACTTTTCCTGTGAAACAAAATGTACTAATGTTTTTGTGTTCATTTTTGGTGCAGACACCTGCCTTTTACACATTTTTTCCAAGTGCTATTGCTAATGGAAAAAGTGCAGGCTTTTGCTCTCATGTAGTAGCATAAAGAATTTCCCAGTGATTGCTCGTGTGTATTAGGATGTGTCTCAATGTGTCAAGATATCCATTTTCATTAAGGACAAGATAATTTTTCAAGGTTGTTTTTTTTAACATTCCTACACAAGAATGGCTTGTGGTATCACACAATAGGTCGTGTGACACAGCCCCTTGTAAGGAAACATGCTTTGTAAACTTCTGTTGATACTGCATTAAATCTTGGTTCTGTATACTGAATGATGTGTGGATCCTAATGTTTGTTCATTACAGGCTCCAGAAATGTTACACTTACAAGCTATGGCATGGGTTAATTAACAGCTAGTTGCCCTCCACATTGAGACCTTCAGCTGAGAAAGATACATCTCCCTCCACCCTGCATCCAGGGGATCAGAGTGAGACTATACAGCAGGGAACATGTGAAATGTGAAAATGTACCCAGAAATTCTGGTTTCCCTGGGTTCATTTGCTTCTACCAATTAGACATCAGTCAGTAGAGAGAGGGGAGGAAATCTGCCTTGTTTGCAGCTTGTTAACTATTTTGAATCCTCTTTGGGACTTGGGTATTGTTGTTTCTCTCTTTCCTTCCCAATCCATTCCTTATTTCTTCTTTTAAAGGCTTCCTGTACTAGCACTAGGCTAGCTAGGTGATGAAAGAGGAGGGAAAAAAGTGAGGAATTGGCAGAAAGACAGGGGGAAATGTTCACTTCAGCCTTGTTTCCAGCTTCCTAAGGTAGCTCTGCTCTGCCCACCCAGATTTGCAAAAGGCATGGTTAGAGCAGAGCTACCTTGAAACCCTCCACTCTCTCTCCTGATTCCTTGCCCCTTTTTCATTTGATTGCCTAGCTGCCTAAGCACTAGATTAGCAAGCCGAAAGAAAGAAAGAAAGAAAGAAAGAAAGAAAGAAAGAAAGAAAGAAAGAAAGAAAGAAAGAAAGAACTCTGAGAAGGCAATCTTTATATGAATGAATATTTCTGTGAGTATTTGCTGATACTCTAGAAGTGTGGATGTATATTAGTAAAACACAGGAAGCTCTTCATGTGATTATTCCAGCAATTCCCTTGTGGTTGCTTGGAAAAGGGAAAATGGTTATGTTACTCTTCCTTCCTTCTTTCTTTCTTCTCAGTGTTCATGGAAGAGGCAGTTCAGATAAACTGATCTGTGATTCTAATTTCATAATCTTGAAAATCTACTTAGTTAAGTCGGAATTCAAGAAGGGACAAGTACAGCACTGATTAAAACCATAGGGACAATGAGGAGGGGAAGCAGAATGACATCTCCTTCTGAAACATTTTCACTCGAGTTTATGGGAAAAAAGGGATGCAACACATTTTTCAGACTAGCTCAGAAATTTCAAGGAAAAGCATCCATGCAGATCTCCAGTTGGAGCCTTGTTTGAGGACGTTTTCTGTGCATGTTAGGGAAAGCTAAGTAAGAGTTCAAAGGATTGAAATGGCAATTGAGATGGGCCAGCTCCAGAAAATTGGTCCGCTAGGTTTGGTAAGGAAGGGGTGGCCTTAGGTTTCAGGGTTAATAATCCCTTGATTTTTGTAATTACATCTTGCTCACAGTGGAGGGATATTTAGGCTGTTGAAGAATATGCCTAATGAGGTGGTTATGGAAAATTCATTAAAAGCTTCTAATTGAGTTCGCAGAGTCGTGTGGTTGAGCAGGGATATCGTTCTCTTTGCATGTGCTCTGGAAGAGAAGCCCTGCTGAGTATCTAATAATATAGTGTAAGAAAGTAACCACTGGGACTTCCTCTCTAACTCAACTCATTGCCTAGATGGAATATTCAGAGCAGGCCTTCAGCTGGTTTTAGAGATTGTGATGGGAAATATAAATGGTCTCTGTAGTACGTCATAGCAAAATAAAGATCTGCTGGTAAAGGTAAAGGTAAAGGTTCCCTTGACAATTTTTGTCCAGTTGTGTCCGACTCTAGGGGGCGGTGCTCATCCCCGTTTCCAAGCTGTAGAGCCAGCGTTTTGTCCGAAGACAATCTTCCGTGGTCACATGGCCAGTGCGACTTAGACACGGAACGCTGTTACCTTCCCACCGAGGTGGTCCCTATGCTTTCAAACCGCTGGGTTGGCGGAGCTGGGACAAGCAATGGGAGCTCCCTCCGTCACGTGGATTCGATCTTACAGCTGAAGATCTACAGACCTTGCAGCACAGAGGCTTCTGCGGTTTAACCCACAGCGCCACCACATCCCTCTGTACTGCTGGGCTTCCTTTAAATGCCTGACTAGAATATCCTAAACACAGTTACGCCATGGTTTATGCACATTGTGGGGAATTAAAGCCAACGGTGGATCCTAGATGTGGTTTGTGGTAGGTGGTGGACTGCCTTCAATTGATAGAATTGAGGATAGCACAATAAGGTGTCACATGTGAAATGCTAATAAAATAGTATCTCTAGTACAGTATTTGGTAAAAAAAAAAAACTTTTGGTCATCCACTATTCTCCTCCTCCTCCTCCTCCTCCTCCTTGAATTATGCAGGCTAACTTTTAAAAAAAATATTGGATTCCCATGAATAAGATGCAGAAAGTAAGGTTGTTCATGTCAGGTTCAAGGGTGTGGTAGCATCGTTATGGCTGTTATTTATGGGTATTTTCTGTGGTTTTGTATTCTCTTAATTTTTTTTTTTTTTTACAAAGACGAGGCTGGGAAATTAGAGATGGGGAAGAATGTTGGTGGGCCCCAGAATCTCAGTGAAAACAGTCTGTTCTCATCCCTTTAGTCTGGTAGCAAAAAAAATTAAAACGCCCCTCAACGTGAACGTCTGCTGAGCTGTGAGCCTGAAAGGCTGTTTCAGAGAAATACTATGTGCACAAAAAGGCATATGCTTTGAAATACAAATAGCTAAAATGTACACTGTTGGGAAGAAAAACCCAAATGCGCTTTAGTCAGCAGGAGAAATGTACAAATTGGGTAATATGTATAGAAGACATTGGGGAAAATGTATTAAAATGTGCATGAATTTCCATGTGGAAAACACCCAACAAAGTCTTGCAATGTGAAACGGGGGAATGTATGTGAGATTATGAAAAAGCATGAAACCCAGACCTTTTTACTTCCTATAGATGATGGTCATATTTGTTATTCTTCCCATTCATCGTGACTCTATTTTACGTTGTGTGTGTTTTTTTCTTCTCCTCCTAGGAAGCACGGTAATGCACGTGACTGCTTTTGATGCCGACGACCCAGCGACAGATAATGCTCTGTTGAGATATAACATCCTCAAGCAAACGCCAGACAAGCCCTCTCCAAACATGTTCTTTATCGACCCAGACAAAGGGGACATCGTCACGGTGGTGTCACCTGCCTTGCTGGACCGTGAAGTAAGTGGTTGCAAGGTTTTTTTCCTCCCCTCCAAATAAATTAAAATCTTTAGGGATGAAAGCAGTATATAAAGACAGTTCCAAGAGGACATATGTTGATGGGTAGTTATCTGTCTTCTTTCTGTATCATCTCTTCTGGAACACGACAGGCTGTTTGCAGATGTGATCCCTGGACATCTTGTTTGAAATTCTTGTTCTGCCGTTGTCGTGGGGGGGGGGAAGAGAGAAGTGTCTAGACAAGCGAAAGGGGGTGTAGGGGTGGATAACTGTCTTCCTAGCGATTGTCATTGTGGGGCTGTTCGAAAAGGCAGACAGCTGTATCGGTCCGTACCCAAAAAAAGAGGCAGGAACAGTTGTTTTGTACAGTTAATGACCTTTCATTATGCATTTAAGAGCATCCATAATTACCTCTCCCAGGGATTATCTCTCTTTTTTTAACTTTTTATTTATGTTTTGGCAGATTTAATATTTTAAAAACCAAATTAAATCCCATGAACAAAGAAAAAAAAAGGGAACAAAAATGGTAAAATACAATGTCACTATAAACCACCATTATACATTTACAATGTAGTTTTGCTAGATAGATCTCATACGATGCATATACTGTAAATCAGTATAGGTCTTCCAGATGTCCAGGTAAATATCATTGTGAAATTGGTATATTTGTTCAAGTGATGCTTGGGCTCACAGATCCCCCGACCATTGTATGGTGGATGGTGGATGTTGTCCCAGGTATTGTAATGATTACAGCTAAGCTCAACAGGACTGCTTCAAGTGTTTGTTTAAAGCATCAGTGGGCTGTGACACAAGCCCACGGCACTTGAAAGCCTCGGTACTTAACCTGGTGTGTTAATGTTACATCATTATAAAAATTCACATACGTACTAACATTAAAATGTCAAGCACACATTATAACATTGATTTGCTAATGTTAGCCAACAGGTTATTAACATTCCTGACTTTTTAATTTTTAAAACCTCATTTGAAATGACTACAATGGTCTCGGATGCTCCCCAACCACCCAGAATCACCTCCCAAAGTAATGATATAAATTAATGCAAAATGTTGTCAGTCAGAAATGCAATATTGTTGGTATTTAATGTTTAACACCATGATTTTCTAATCAGTCTTGAAAACTTTGACCCGTAAAGGGAAGCAAATTTGTGTTGACAAACTATTATTCCAAGCTGATTTTTATGGTTTAGGCCAGTGGTGTCGAACTGTGGCCCCTTTTTATGGTTTAGGCCATAAAGTGTGCAGCTCTTGATCTGATCTCATGTGACCCTCAGCCTCCTTTCAGATGTGCCAAGAATGAAGAAGAACTGGCACAGTGAGGAGGGTAGAAGGTAGCAGTGACCTTAAGATAAGATGGATAAGTTCATTTACTATTGTCTTTCATTCCACCAACCATGAGTGTCAGCCTTGCCTCTGGTGTGCAGCACCCAAGACATTACCGTAAAGATAAACTAGTCTTGCTGGTCCTTTTTTTGGTGTGATTGCTTAGTTTGGTTTGCTTTTGCTTTGTCTTGTGAGCTGTCTCAACTATCACTATATGAAAGTCAAGTCAAATTAATAGAAGACTAAATAGCATGGGTGACAGCAGCCACGAAATTAAAAGACGCCTGCTTCTTGGGAGGAAAGCGCTGACAAACCTCGACAGCATCTTAAAAAGCAGAGACATCACTTTGCCAACAAAGGTCCGCCTAGTCAAAGCTATGGTTTTTCCATTAGCGATGTATGGAAGTGAGAGCTGGACTATAAAGAAGGCTGACCACCGAAGAATTGATACTTTTGAATTGTGGTGCTGGAGGAGACTCTTGAGAATCCTCTGGAGTGCAAGGAGAACAAACCTATCCATTCTGAAGGAAATCAACCCTGAGTTCTCACTGGAAGGACAGATCCTGAAGCTGAGGCCCCAATACTTTGGCCATTTCATGAGAAGAAAAGATTCCCTGGAAAAGACCCTGATGTTGGGAAAGTGTGAAGGCAAGAGGAGAAGGGGATGGCAGAGGATGAAACGGTTGGACAGGGTCATGGAAGCGACAAACATGAATTTGACCCAACTTCGGGAGGCAGTGGAAGACAGGAGGGCCTGGCGTGCTCTGGTCCATGGGGTCACAAAGAGTTGGACATGACTTAACAAATTGCATGTAGCAAAACGAACAACCTGCACCCCCCCTCTTCCTGAAGTTAGGCTATTAGGATCAGTTAGGCTGTTAGGATCAACAAAAGGGTGACACTGATACCATTGGTCCTAAACAGTAAGAACAAAAACTTGGTTCAAGGTGTGTCAAAATAGTTCAGTCTTTTTACTGTGAAGCTGAATAGGGTAAGCGAGATGGGAGAGCGCAAAAATTAATAATATAAATTTAGACCTTTAATCTCGCATCTATTTGTTAGCTGTTTTCAAACCAAGATGCTGCTGATTTAGAAACTCATAAAAGAGATACGAGTCATATACAAGATAAGCTTTGTAAATTCCTTCAGTTCTTTAGAGGCTTCCCGGCTTTTATGGGAGGAAGGAGGGGGGAAAACCCACTGAATAGCAGTACATCTTTGTAAGAGAAGAGAGGAAAAGAGAGGAAAATGTACTCTACACTATCTACAGGTCTATTTCAGATCCAAATGAAATTCATGTGTCTTCGGTGGGCGAATTTAAGAATTTGAATGCAGCTGCTGTATTGTAGATAGATGCTGGCTAGATAGCTCAGGATATCGTAGCCCCTGAGTGCTAGGGGTCAGGCATTCCGTTTCCCATTTGTATCTCCAGGGAGAAGAGCCAGCCTGGGTGGCCTTGGGCAAGCTGCAGAGTCCAGGGGCACCCCCAGAATAAGGGTGTAATAATCCTTTTCTGAGTACTGTATGCCTCAAAAGCCCTAGAAAGTGTCACTGTAAGTCTGAATTGTCTTGATGGTATACAACAGCAACAACAATTTGAACTTTTACCTTTTTTTTAGCAGTTGCACTCTGGTTTACAGCATAATATAAAGTAGTAGTAGTAGTCGTCACCGTTGTCGTCATCATTGCCGTCATCGTATAGAGATGGATGACTCCAATTCCAATCCAATTTGATCCATTCATAATTTCTATCCTGCTTTTCCCCAATCAATCTTACTTATTTTATTTTATTTTATTTAGCGAGGAAAAAACACTCGAGTTTTCCTTCAGATAGATTCTGTTGTGAAAAAGCACACGTCCCAGGGCAGCTGTCAAATCAGTTTTCCCTATCCAACAGGCAGCCCTCTGTGGCATCGGTCACAGGTTGTTTCCACAGTTTGCAAACAGTGTGCGGCTCAGTGCACAAAGGACTGGCCACAGGGAAGTGACTCCATTGACCAAATAATTAATAATAATAATTGGGCACGGGATACAGATTTTTTGCACAAACAAAAAATCATTTTTTTGTGTAAAAGTGCTGAGTTTGTTTGATAAAATCATATGACTTGCCAAAACATGAGTGCCTGATGTTTTATTTAAGAATCTGGAGTGCTGGATGGGTTTTTGCATCTTTCTGAAGAGTCATCCACTCCTTCTATGCCTGCCGTGTGCCTGCGTGCTTTATTTAAAAGAAAACATGACAGAGCTTGCACAAATTACAGAGGCCATACGTGTGTGTGTTCGGGTGTCATAGGGTAGAGACAGCTCTTTAGCTCATCCTGACTTGGAAGTGAGGATTTTAACAGGGCTTCAAAAAATTTTCACTGAGGTGTCTCGTCATACCAAGACAGCTTAAAATGATGAGGTTAGATACAGTACTTCCTAGAAGTAATTCTCACCATGCAATCCTAGATTTATTTTTATTTTTACTCAGAATTAAATCAGTCTGAGTTCAGGAGGACTTACTTCCATGTACGCACATAGCAGATTTTTTCCCCTGTCTCTGGTGGATAGTATCTGAGTAATTTTACATAAAGGTTACAATGTGTGTGATAATCAGCTTTTAAGTCCAACATACTTTTTCTCTGTTACTTTCAAGTTAGGCTAGGCATTTCCCCCTTCTTTAATACATAAGCAATCCTGAGATAAAACCAATTTGCTGGAAAGTGGAAAATCAATAGGAAGGAATGAACAGGCTGAGTGTCTCTGCTGTGTTCTAAAAGGGGCTGATGGGACATGAAATAATGATGCCATATTTGCATACAAAGAACATCTACAAGATCAATCACGTATTACTGCAGGACAAAGGATGGCAAACTGAGAATTGAGCCATCCATGATTTCCTGTTAACAACAATATCATCCTATAGTCATTAATGATGGGTCTTCATAAAGCGTTGGCTGACTAGATAGCTCGGAGACTTAGGCATAGGTTAGGAGCTCAATTCCCCATAGCACATGCCAAATGAGCCAGCCTTGGGCAAGCTGCACAGTCCCCCGAAGAAGTTAAACCACTTCTGAATACTCTCCAGCTGGAAGAGCAAACGCAAGCAAGCAATCAAACAAAAACAAAGCGTACTGCTTATATACCACCCCATAGCACTTTAAGCACTCTCTAGGCAGTTTACAAGTTAAGTACACAGGCTACAGCCTTGGAAGGATAGAAGGCTGAGTCAACCTTGAGCCGGTTACCTGGGATTGAACCCCAGGTCGTGAGCACAGTTTTGGCTGCAGGACAGCAGTTTAACCATTGCGCCTTGAGCCTCTTCACGTGGAAAACTCTAGAGGGTTGCTGTACGTCAGAACTGACTTGAGAGCCCACAATTATTATTATACATGAAGTGTTACAGTAAATATGGAATGACGGTGTTGACAGGGATGGTCGTTTCCTGACAATAATGTTTATTGCACATGAGGTGGCCATGTTCTTCCATGAGAGTTGGGATCAGGGTGATGAAACTTCTCAGATAGGATGAGCGGGGGAGGGGGGGCTGTGACTCCTAGTTCCACCCTCCCCAGTCTTGGAAATAAGCAGAAAGTTGGACCAGAACTGAAAGACATGACAAACTTCCAGTAATAAATATGCTTTACTGCTTTAAGAACATAAATTTGAAATGTATTATG